TTCTGCAGCTTCACCGAGATGCCGACCAACAACTTCATAGAAAGCTCGTTCTGGAACTTTGACTCCCTGTTTCAGCCGCAGCAGCATCCGGCCAGAGACCAGCACGACACCTTCTTCCTGTCCGGTAAGACAGAGGCTGTGTGTGTGTGTGTGTGTGTGGCTCTGTCTGATAAATATATTCTGGAGTTTGTCTTTTACATGTGAGATATTCACTGTGAAGTTGATCATTCACCACGGGGATCATTTTTCAGACCCAGCGCTCGCCCACGAGTTCCCGCAGGATTACCTGGAGCGGGTGAAGAAGGTCCACTCAGAGGGAGGCTTTGGTTCACAAGGGTGAGTCACACGCTCGCAAAACAAATAAGATCAACAAAACCAACGACGGCTCGATCGACATCCTTTTGTTTCAGGTACAAATACGACTGGAAGATAGAGGAGGCTCAGAAGAACCTCCTCCGTACTCACACTACAGCAGTCAGTGCACGCATGTTGTACAAACTGGCACAGCAGGTGAGGAGCACAAACATTTATAGATGTTTGTGAACTACTTTGGACACGGTTCATTTACTGTATCTGTGTCGTCATTCACCACGAAGCTCTTTCTCCCTCACCCGTATGTGAAACCAGGAGAAGTTCACCCCCGTCAAGTATTTCTCCATCGACCGGGTGTTCAGGAATGAGACGTTGGACGCCACCCACCTGGCTGAGTTCCACCAGATCGAGGGCGTGGTCGCAGACTACGGACTCACACTGGGAGACCTCATGGGCATCCTGCACCAGTTCTTCACCAAACTGGGTCAGGATACATTCTGGTGGTTGTGACGAAATAAAAGATGCAAATGCACGAAGCCACGTTTTCCTGTAAACTGTTTAACCAAAGCATGACGCCAACCACATTTTCCTCAGTGTTTTGTCCACATGACGAGTTTGAATGATTTTTTTATATCTTGTTTTGTATTTTTTCTTTTTTTCAGGAATTACCAAACTACGCTTCAAACCTGCCTACAACCCGTACACAGAGCCCAGCATGGAGGTGTTCAGCTACCACGAAGGTACAAATATATTTTCTTTCTTCCAAACGAGGAAGTAGCCGTGTCTGTGTTTGTTTGATTGGCGGTTGTGCTTTGCGGGTCTGGTCGTTCCTCCGGTTTCATCTCTTGTCATTCTGTACGTTCAGGACTGAAGAAGTGGGTGGAGGTGGGGAACTCGGGGGTGTTCAGACCAGAGATGCTGCTGCCCATGGGACTTCCAGAGGATGTGTCTGTCATCGCCTGGGGGCTGTCGCTGGAGAGGTGAACGCACACAAACCTGAAAACAAACTGATCAAAGAGATCACAGCCGACCTGCGTGTGTTTTAATGTCGTTAACGTGAATATGAGCGGCGGGACTCTAGTGAGACCTGGAGAGATGTAACGCAGACATGTTGCTGTGCTGCTGCTCACTGGGTCTTCTCTCTCCTGCAGACCCACCATGATCAAATACGGCATCAACAACATCAGAGAGCTGGTGGGACACAAGGTGAACCTACAGATGGTCTACGACGGCCCCATATGTCGTCTGGACTCCTGAGCGACGCCCAAACTCTTATTGAGATATTTAACCTTTGGACGGACAGACTTTATCTTCTACCTTCTTGAGACATCTCGTGTCTGACTCTCACTCCTCCTGTTCTTCATCCAACACACGGAGGGGCTCGGTTTTCTGCAGACTCGTCTGCAAAGGGCTTCAACACGTAGGATCGGACTTTGTGTGGACGCGATGCTCGGCTCTCTGCTGCTTTGCAGAAACTTTGAGTCCTGAGACGTCGTTACTCGTATAAAGTCGCTAAGTTTCTACTTGTACAGGGAGAAAACAAAAAAACTTTTTGCAATGTGACAAACATTAAATGAAGAGTTTTTTTGCAAATCTGACTTTTGTGTTTCTTGTAATAATGTTTTCAGACCTGAACTGTGGAGACGTCCTGAGTTTGTCTCTCACGTGACGGACGCAGCAGGATTGTGCTCAGCTGTCGTGGTCATTTATCGATGACGGGATATTTTTATAACCATGTTGTGCTGAAGCTTTGTGTCTGTGATGAACAATAATCCAGTGAAGAGTTTAGATGTGATTCAACAGTTTGGCTTCTGTTTAATTCCAAAGATCTGGGATTACATTTGACCTTGATCACCTCTTAAACAAACAGCCTGTGAACCATCAGCTGGCGTCAACAGGTTGTTGTTGTCTCAGGAAACTGTTTCTCATCATTGTCCTTGATTTCCTCAGATAACGTCCGTGTGTTTGAAGTGGGATGATTTACACAAATACAGATTTACACATAGAAAGTTTGGATTTTATTTTGTTGTATTAAATGCGAGTACAGTCATTTTCTTTAAAGTTCAAAGTTCAGGCGTCGACTTCACTTCGGCTTCGGCTGCAGCATCGGATCACGTGACGCTGCTCAGACCGAAGTTGTGAATAAATGAAATGAAAATCTGAAAATGTCAGAAAAAGCTGTTGTGCACCAATCGTGGAATTCTTTGTGTTTGAGAGATGAATTTCTATTAATGACATTTCTTTAAAAGCAGCTTCGTTACCACATGAGTCATCTGAAGACTGAGTTCTGGTTGAAGTCTCAAAATAGCAGCTGGTGTTAAAATGAGGAAATCACTTTCCTGGGACGCCACTTCCTCTCATGTTCTGTAATCTGCGCTGACAGGCCTGGACACAGCAGACGGGGGGGGGGGGGGGGGATCCATGAGTGCATGTGACACCTGCGATGAAGGCTGCAGGATTACGTTGTGTTGTGTACATGTAGAATTGCTGGAACTCCGTTAAGTCTTCGTCTTAAGCTAATCCCTCAGTGTCTTGAAATAACATTTTAGTGGAGTTTGTGAGACGGACAGCAGGTCGGCTGAAAACAGCTTTGTTGATCTCCAGCTTCTTTCCATCACATCTTGAAGTTTGACTCAACTGGAGGGGGGAAAAAAAAAAAGACACAAACCTGTGATCTCTGGTCTCTGAGTGGCTTCATGTGTAATCTCCTGGTGCTCAGGTGGATTATTTTGGAACAGCAGGTGGAATCTTTCAATCTCATCCTGCTGGAACGAACAAAAGTCAACTCAGCCAGAACGTGTAGCAGCTGCAGCTCCTCGGTGTTTGCACAAAGAAACAAGTCACTCTGTCGCCACGACACATATAGAGCAGCTTCTCACTGAGGCTCAGGCACAGAGACGATGCCCAGTGATCTTCTCCACTAATCCTCCCCGTCCTTGGGACGTCCTCAAGGTGTTTGCTCTTCTGCTGATTTGTTGTGTGAGAGGGAGACAACAGTCTGGACGCTTTGAGAAACGAGTCGAAATGAAAGTTGCTGTGAGACGAGAGGAGAGTTTCTACACACGGTTTAAAGGACGTCTCCCCACAGCCACGTTTCCCAAACGCTTCATCCTCGTCGACTGTGTTTGTCGACCTCTTATCACTTTGTAACTGGGCGTCGAGACGGTTCATGATCACACCTTGCTGAAGTCAGAACTCCCTGGGCAGGCCGCTCTCCCTGCTCGGCCCGGGGCTCCCGGAGAACGGCAGGGAGCTGTGACTGGTCGGGCTGTGGGAGTGCGGGAAGAAAGAGGGGATGTAGGGAATGGCAGCCATCAGCAGCGGGCTGCTCTGGGCGTCTACTTCATGGGGCAGCGAGATGACCACGTCGTCCTGGTCCCACACGTGAAAGGCATTGTGGGCGAAGGGATGTGCGGGGGGAGCGTGGCTCGAGGCCATGCGGTGGGAGTCGCTGTTTTCTTTCTCCTTGTCTTCATCACCAGGAGGACCCAGCAGGCAGTCTACAAGAGGGGGGGGGGGGGGGGTTATAGGTTTAACGCCACAACTAACAGAGACGTTCAGACAGTTCGATCAAGTTATGATCTACTCGTCCCTCTGCTCTGTGAAGGAGCTGAAGCATTTCTTAGTTTAAATGAATAATTAAAGTGAAAATCTGATAATCAACACATGTCCTACCTGCTATGTCGATGGCCAGATCCTTGATGAGATGTCCAACGATGGCGTAGGCGACTCCAACCACCACCAGCGCCGCCATGAGCAGATACAGCACCGCCTTGGGCAGAGGGATGAGGTCCTTCACCACGGGCTTGTACTGCCTGTACAGAGGGTCGTCCAGTGACGATGAGTACGGGTACGCCTGTCCTTCATCAGTGGAGTTCAGCCCGGGGAAATTATAACCATTCATGATGAGGACGACTATAAACCAGACCCTCCTCCAGACATGACGGGGACACGTCTCTCTCACACGCAGGAGCAGGGAAACTCAGATTCTGCAGAGAAAACAGAAGCTGTGAAACATGTGAGGATCAAATAAAACAGTAGAATCATTTCAAACTATTTAAACCTCAAACCTGATTCAGCGGCTGAACGTGAGAATGAAGCTCCGGGTTCTTTATGTCTCCTGCTCTGTCCTTGGTGCTGAAGTGCTGAAGGGTTGTCCAGTGCCAGATTCCACCTCCCCTCCCTCTCTCTCCCTCTCACTCTCTCCCCCTCTCTCTCTCCACTAACCGCCTCTGACAAGCCTCTGCTTAAAGCAAGCTTACACGCCGGCGTCGCTCTTCCCTTAATTCCCTGGAGTTACTGAGAAGTCTCCTCGTGGGGAATCAATCGAGACCTCTGCGAAGTGCACGGAGCTATTTGTGCTGATCCAGGTTCTTTGGGCCTGATGTAAGGTGTGTCGCTCTGTGGTGAGGCCAACACACCCACACCACAGCACCGCCTCACATACAACACAAATATGTTCTTAGCTGTTGGGTTAAAAATCGATTTTTGACGATTAAATCCCATATAAATTAGAATGTGTTGCATTTTGACAGCTTGAGCGTAAAGCCTCCTTGTCATCTGGGTGTGTGAGAGTCATGGCGGACACCAGCAGCCTTACGTCTCCGTCCATTTGGGGGGTGATTTGTCTCAGTGAGTCACATCCACATGAAAGGCCAGTGGTCAAAAGTGGAAAAAGCAATTTCATGATGTAAGCACTTGGTGGAAGGGTCAGTATCAGGGAAGGAAGAACCCGCTCACTTCTGGGGGGGAGATTGATCGATTGTGTGAAGATTCAGGAATTTATTCTCACTTTCTTTGCATTATTATGAAATGGGATAATTCTTGGATCTATTTAGGGAACTTATATGTATGAGTGTGGAATTTGCAGCTTGATTGAATTTAAGGGCGACGGCGGAGGAGCGTGAAGACTATCAGAGGTCAAACTGCCACAGAATGAAAGGACGTACAGGGAAATCCTCGGCTGACGGCAACACGGCAGCTCACAGATGTAAATGTCGACTGTGGTTGAGTTGCACACTGTGAGATTCTCAGGATGAAATAACAGCAGGCTTGAAAGTTGACACTTAAATAACTTTTATTTATATAAAGCACTGAGGAACTTCCGACCTCTGGCAAACCATGCAATGTTATCTTAGTGTTTCATCCTGTAAAGTGCAACCATCAGAACCATTAGATCGACAAACTACACACAGACTGGTTTAAATAATTGGATCAAATACCAAACAAAAAAACCTACCAGCTTATTTCAAATCCGATTAGAGTATTAACTTTGCATTCATCATCAGCAAATCTCTGATCTTGACCTGATTCAGTTTTCGTACGTCACTTCAGTGAACGATGATGAAGTCCAAACAAACCGAGTGTGAAACAAGGATTTGGAAAACACTGTTGTGACCGATATAGAAAAATAGCTTTTCTTTCTTTTTAAAAATAAAAGCACTCAATGCATATATTTCCCAAACCTGAGGGAAAGAAAACCCCATTACCATTATACAGAGGACATTTGATCAAAACTAACGGAAAACTGCTTGTGTCTCATTACAGAGTCGATGTGCGGGTTACGCTTCTGACAGTAGAGTCCTGTCGATCTAGAGTTAGTGTTTATTTGTCCACAGTGAAGGACTGGAGTCCGGTGATGACTCTGCCCAGGATCAGCGCGTGGATATCGTGAGTGCCTGAGGACGACAGAGGAGAGAACCCATCTTTATATGAATCTGAATTATAAAATGATTGATGACCCGACAGAGGAATAAATTCCTTGTGCAGCAGTCTGCTCCTCCTCACCTTCATATGTGTTGACGGCCTCCAGGTTCAAGACGTGGCGGATGACGTGGTATTCGTCTGAAATGCCGTTTCCTCCCAGCATGTCTCTGGCCTGTCTGGCGATGTCCAGGGCTTTACCACAGCTGTTCCTCTTGAGCATGGATATCATCTCTGGGGCCGCTCTGTTAACAAATAATATACATATGCAACCGGTTTTAACTGGGAGCGCACAGGGCAGGACGTGGTTGTACAGTTGCCTCAATACCGTGTCTCATACGCCTCATTGAAACGATGAAATTACTTTTTCTCATCGATGAGTCTTCCCAGCTGCAGACACGACTGGAGGCCGATGGTTATCTCCGTCAGCATGTCGGCCATTTTCTTCTGCATCAGCTGATTCCTTGCCAGCGGCACGCCAAACTGGATTCTGGTTTGGAGAGAGACATCACACAGATTTCATCGAGTGGATTGAACTCGAACGTGACAAATTGTCCTCGGCCAGTCCTGACCTGTCGAGCGTGTACTGACGAGCTGCATGGAAACAGAACTCTGCAGCACCCAGCGCCCCCCACGCGATGCCATACCGGGCGTTGTTCAAGCAGCCAAAAGGACCCTGGAAGCAACAAAAGGAGTGTGACGGTTATTCCTGTGTACGATTTTGAGGGTGTCAAAGTTTTCTTTGTAATACCACATTCACAGCGCTTTGACTCCACTCACCCCAAGGCCGGACACTTTGGGAAGCAGGTTCTCCTCAGGAACCTCCACCTCGTCCATGACGATCATACCGGTGGCCGAGGCTCTCAGGGAGAACTTTCCCTCGATCTTCGGCGTGGAGAAGCCTTTCATCCCGCGCTCCAAGATGAAGCCACGGACCTTCCCATCGTCGCATTTGGCCCAGACCACAGCGACGTCTGCCACGGGGGAGTTGGTGATCCTGGAGGTAAAGGGAACGTGAGGGACACAAGTTATCGTACGCACTGGTGAGGAACCCTGATGTACTGAAATGATTTGTCTGTAAGTGTTGACGTGTCTTACACCTTTCAAACAGACTTATTTAGTTTTAAGAAGTTATAAAACTGAGTGAAAACAGAATGAATAGACTCCTCAAAATATATAAACCTGGTATGTGTGTGCAAGTTTAAGTGTGAAGAGCTCCACCATGTGGACAACTAAGGACATATCATGTCCAGTGCCACAACAGAAACCTTTCAACCTTTAAACAGAAATATAAAATACATACTATGATGTAGTAAAGAGTCAAAGAAAGGTCGCTGGTGTTTGTTGCAGTTTTCAGATCATTTACTTTGTGACCTGCTGCAGTATAAACTCAGAACAGTGTAAATAAACCCGACCGTCCAATGAGAGGCCAGTATTTACATCATTTCACCCGACTCACCAGGTCTTTGAGCCGGTGAGAGAGTAGGAGCTACTGGACGGATTGTATTTGGCTCTGGTTTCCATGCCGCCGGGGTCACTGCCATGGTTCGGCTCCGTCAAGCCGAAGCAACCCAGGATCTCTCCACGGGCTGGGAGCGACAGAGAGACCGGGGGGGATGGTAACAACTCACACAGGACTGACCAAGCTCAGCCGCTCATCACAACAGAATCTAAATTCTTTTACAGATAAATTTGGTTGTAGTCATTTCCTCCTCTTACCCAGCTTGGGGAGGTACTTCTCTTTCTGCTCCTCAGTGCCGTAGGCATAAATGGGGTGCATGACCAGCGACGACTGCACGCTCATGACTGAGCGATAGCCACTGTCCACTCGCTCCACTTCTCTGGCTATCAAACCATAGGCCACATAGCTCGTCCCAGCACAGCCATAACCTTTAAATCAGACGCAGGGAGAGGAGTCAAAAACAAACAGACACAAGTGAAGTGAACAAAGTCCATTCAAAGAGTCATTTGTTTGTGAGACCATAGAGATCCAGAATAAACAGCTGCTGCTCATTCTGTTCGTGTCCTCCAAATGATACGTTCATTAATGCAGTTAATGTGAAGTGACGGAGCAAACAGACATGCTCAGACTGACCTTTAATGGTTGGGCCCAGGACGCCCATCTCTCCCATCTCAGACACGATGTCTCTGTGGAAAACTGAAAGAAAAGGACACAACAAGGAAGTTACAGCAAACCGTGTTTCTTTATTTTAACCTAGAACATGTTCACACACTGACAAAGAGGTTGGACTGCTGCACTGATTAAATATCACTGAGTATCTCACCTTCATTTCTGTTTGCCATCAGGATGCGAGGCATGAGTTTCTCTTGGCAGTAGGTTCGGAAGGAGTCCCTGATCATGATCTCCTCTTCCGTCAGCTGACCCTCCAGGTCCAAGCTGTCACGCCAGTTAAACTGGACCTTCGCTGTCAGACATTAAGAATGGGAACAATTCAAAAAACTCAAAAAAAAAAACGAGTTTGAAAAACGTCCTGCTGAGACTAAACTCCAAAAATCTAGTTTAAACATTTATCACTTACGTGCTTTAGACTTGAGCTCAATCTTCTCTGCATCTGTGAAAATACAGATGAGAACAAATAAGGGAATAAAACGACCCAGAACAAAACACTGCCTGTTGTTGTTGCACTCACCTTGTCTGACAGACGCTGCAGTTGTCTGAGCTCTGGAGGAGGAGAGGATGACACATCTCTGAGTGCTGACCAAGAGACGACTCACAGCGCTTCTCATTGCCATGATGGGAATAAGTCTGAGAAATAAAAATTACAACTTAGATTACTGCAACTCTCTATTCACAGGGCTCCTCCACAGTTCTCTCAGCCGCCATGTAAATGTGACCTGGTCACACGCTCATTGCACAGTATCCTCTGTTAAAACACTTTACACAACACATTTCCACATGAAGCGGCCTTCGACTAAACGTTCAAGTGCTTTATTCTATTGGTTTTATTGTTATGTTGCTTTTAGCCGGACGCTGTTTGTGTTATTGCTTTAATTCCTCCAGTGTTTAAATCTGTCTCAGAACATGAAGTAGATAATTATATAAAATGAGTTAGTTCCTAAATCTACATTTCATTTGACACCATTCAAAGAAGCTGACTGAATGATTTACAGAACTAAACTTAACGAACACGCTTCGCTGTCCTCAACTTTCTGTCTTCACCTGTTTTATTCACACGTGTTTGTTTCAGATTCTGTGTTGACATCGGTCCATCCTCTGATTCTCCATCGTGGCCAGAAACATGAGTTAGAAACACGTCTGAAGAACTTTCTCCCTCAGCTTCACCGTCTGCTGGAGGAACCTGTCGAAGCTCCCAGCCTCGGCTAAGCTAATCTAGGCTAGGCTAACTCAGGTAGACTCCACCGTGGCTAACAGCGCTAGCTCCCACAAGGGGGGGGTGGGGGCGTAGTTACGACATATTAACCGCGTAACTTTTGTACGACTGTGTCGTAAATGAAACGTGTGGAGTGTGAAACAGCAGAAACCTCAGGTGTGTGTGTGTGTGCGGCTCTCGAACCTGTGACGCGCGGCTCCACCGTTGTCCTCTGTTGACACTTCGCTGCTGCTCCACGGTATACCAAAACATGACGTCATCACGCACAGCGCCCCCCCCCCCCGAGCATCCAATCATGTGTCACGTTGAGTGCCGCGTCATCGCCGAGCCCCTGCCAGTGATGGAATATTTTTCAAACGGATTTTTATTCGTTTATTTTTATATTTATTTATAATTTTATTTTTATATGTGTGAATAAAATACAAGTTATTCTTTATTCTGAACCAATCATCGATGAGCATCGCGGCCTTTTAACGACACTTCCGCCGCAGGGAAGGATCCTGATTGGCTCTTTGGCAGGGGCGTGAACGCTGGAGGAGTTCCCAGAATAAAAGTATCAGCAGAAGACAGTTTACACTAACCTTCAAAATAAGTTCAGACAGTTCCTCAACACTCCTGTGTTGAATAACAAACATAACTCTCATTACTTGACTTCAGGAACCTAAAGGTTTAATAAAACTGGGTCCTCCTCTAAAATCAACCAGGTAAAGAAGTCAAATAGTTGATTTTATAAAACACTCCCTGCTTGTTAGAGATCCACATCTTTCACACTCTGCTTAAAACATCTTTACCAACACCAACAACACCACAGAATTAAAATGTCGGATTGTGCTTGCTTGTGTCAGGTGTTGTAATAAGTTTCTGTGAGGTTTCGAAGACTCAGACAATCTGACACAGATAAGTGTGAATGCAAACAACAAAACAATACACTTGTACTCCATGAAGGAGAAAAGCAGCAGGAGGAAGTAAAATCTCATATTAACCTGCTCTTTTCATATAAATAACATAAAGTAAGAACAGATGTCATTCTCATAATTAATGGCCACCACATAACAAATCAATAAGTCATTAATCAATAGCCAACAAAATAACATAACTGTTAGTCAGTAAGTTTGTGTTGCTTCAACATTTTTACTTTATGCTTTTACTTGAATATTTGAGCAACATTTTTTTAAATTGTTGTGTAGAGAATTCACACAGACTCATGAATAGAAACACATGTGGATGTTCGATATGATACTTCCTCATATGATCCTGAACATCAGTGGAGTACAGTGAAGTAGACGTTGCAGCCTCCTGTGCAGCTTGTGAGTGCAGAGTCAGACCAGGCAGAGTTTGGCCTGTGAGCTGAATTATGAATGAATATATTTGCTTTTATAATTAATGTTGTCTTGCATTTCAAGTCAGGCCTATAAAAGATTTGCTATGTCACCGCTTTGCTGAAAAGAAATCACTGTGAACGACTGGCGATGCACAAACACTAAACGAGACGCGTGTTGATTAATTGGTTATAGAATTTAACTGTGTTTGTTCCATTTTCACTGCCAATCAGACAGTTATAATAAGATTGATTTTATTTTATTCATAATTTTTTATTTAGCTCTGCCAGTTTCTTTTCACTTTCACTCTCTCTTTGAGATGAGTATATTCATACATATTATTTATGATTTATTTTAGTTCTGTGAGGAGTTTATTTTTTTATTTTTTCATTTTAATTGTATACTTCAGTTAACGGGCACAGCAGAAACTCCCGCCCTCCCTCGCCGATTGGCTCAGCCTGCTGTCAGTCTCGCTGAGCGGCGCCGTGATTGGTGGGCTCCCCGCTCGGACCTCTCCTCCCTGGAGGTTGTGGAGCGGACCGTTCCTCGGGGTGTGAGTCGGACTTGAAGCCGAACGCGGAGCGTGAACCCCGGCTCCCAGACTATGCTGTAGCCGCTGTAGAGCAGCTTTTGGGTCCAGAACAAAACCCTGCGTGAAAAAAAACCATGGAGCTGGAGGAGAAACCGAAATATGGTAATTCACTGAAACTTCACTTTCTTCTCACACGTCAGGAGTTGAACAACAAAGCCAGCGCGTGTTACTCTCCAACATTTGTCTCGGTGTATGTTCCAGCTTTAATGCCAGCTGCTGTCTGTCCCTCAGAGGACAGGGGTTGTGTCCCTCAGCTGCAGCAGATGAGTCTTGTGTTGTGATCGGTCAACATGGTGGCTGCTGCATGTTGTCAACAGTGTCCCAGCTTCTCTGCTGCTTGACCAGTTGCTGCCACATTCCTCAGACTGGTCTGGAGATCACACCCAGCTATGTATAGAGCTGCAGTTATTAGAAAATACCAGCAAGCTTCAATTATAAACACGTCCTCTGTATCTTATAGTTGTTTAATAGAAAATACCTCCAGCGTGTGAGGAGGGTCTTCATCTGTCAGCCACATCTTAGCAGTGTAGAAATATCCTTCATTATTTCATGCATTTTACCTAAAGGACTGAATCTGTATTGTTCAGTCCAGCGTCTTTTTATCTTTAGCCTCATTTCTTCAGCTTGTCTTGATACTATCCTGTCATTTTGGAAATGTCCTTCAATCCACATTTTATTTCCAGCGTCATTCCCAGAATACTGTGTCTGTACCTTCAGTTTATTTTGATTGCTGCTCCTTGTGGTTCTAATTATGCCCTCTGTACCTTATAAATGTGTTTTCAACGTGACACACCCTGCTTGAGACTGCTCCTTCCTGAGCGGCCTCATTGCCTGCATGGGAAGCGCATTGAATCAAGACAGATCCAGCAATAAATGATTTACACTAAAAGACAAAGCATGTCTTCGGAGCACCTTCACACCTTTAAGACCTCGTTTTTGGGTCAGTAACCTCAGCTTAGAAACAACGCACATTTCTGTTTTCATGCACTTCTCTGCAGTAATGTGTTGTGCATTGCTTTCTCGGGCTTTATTGTGGACATGTCCTGAGTCTGTCCCAGGATGTTGACGAGTAGAGATGAAACCCGGACTGTCTGCTGGTTTTCATTTTGGAGCTAGTTAGTGTTTCACTCCTCTTCCCCACACACGCCCTTTTCCACTCTGCCTGCCACATGAGGGCTAATTGACAACATTACAAACCCTTTGCCAGAGGAATTACAGTTGAGTGTTTGCTTGTTTGTAACAGCGAGACTCAGGGTCAGAGGACAATAGGGAGGAACACAGAAGCAGGTTCGCTCGAATCACTGTGAGGTAAGAGCCTCTGGAAGAAGCAAGTGTATTTTGAGACTCTGGGCGAACCCAGCTAAAAAAAGAAGGCAAAGGCAGAAATCTCCACAGAGCAGAGGGAGAGCACTTCAGAGGAAAGTGTAGGCGCTGCCCCAGATTCACATGTTGGAGTAATTTCAGGCTGAGACAGATGAAGAAACCTCAATGAGAGGATGTGAAGCAGCCGTGCAGCCGGGCCCTGGTGGAGATCGGGCGTAATTATAAGCCATTTTTAGGAGAGTGGTTTGAAACCTGATCCCGAGTCTCTCTGACCTTTCCAACGTGAGTTCCAGCTACATTTGCAGATTTACTTCTTCCGCTTCAGTTACTGTGCCGAGCAGCGTTTACCAACAAACGGCCGAAGATGTCTCCGTCATTGCAGCCATCCGTTCCCACTTAGATGTGCCGTGCACCCAGACAACCAAAGTAGGATCATGTGACCCTGCTTACTGTCTGTGGTCTTGCCAACTTGCCTGCGGAGTGAAACACAAAGGCGTGTTCAGAGCAGTGTGAGTCTGATTGGTTATTAAGGTCAGGGAAAACGAGTGTGGACAGAGAAGAAGACGAGAGAATGTGGAACCAGGACCACCCCTGAGATCTGTCCTCTGTATTTACTACTTTCTTCTTCTGCTTATCTTGGCTGATCTCATGCCGTCTCACTCATTCTGTCTTAATTCATTAGGTCACATGAATTAGATCTGTGTCTGCCTTTCCCACCAGAAGAGATGATGATGCAGAAAGAAGTGGAAGCAGGAGAGAGGTTTAGAGAAAGTTCCTTTTCCTCAGATAAAGTACGGTTGAGTGTTGCTGCTGCTGTTGTGTGGAAGTTTCAGAAACCAGATTTTAATGGGCCAAACGTTCCAAACTCTGTTCTCAGTAAAATTCAACATTTCACTGTGGATGTATTTTTTCATAGATTAGTGTGTGATCTCAGTTGTTTCCGTTGTTACACATAACACTATAAATAGATTGAACTCCACACCCTCTTTCTGTAATAAAACACATGGGTGGGGCAGCTGTTAACTGTAGATATCAGACCCTTGGACATAGATGAACTTCCCTATGGTGATTAATAAAGTATTTCTGATTCTGATTGTATTTCTAGATGAAGACATTTAAGAGCAGCGAGGAAGAAGTTATTTCCGGTAGTGCAGCGTTAGCCAAGCTAGCTTAAAAGTCAACAACTTGGCAACAGTTCCCACAGGAAAGTCCCACGAGTTAAACAGCAACATTAACCAGATGCAAGACTTCAGTTTCGAGCGACCTACTTAATTTATTTGTGTTCTCTTTTCAGTCATGACCGTCAAACTAGATAAAGAAGAAGTTGTAGTGTTATTAACCTGAGCCGGGCCACAGATTTTATAACTTCCACAGGTTCCAGGGTTAGTAGCACTCAGCGGTAAAAATACGTCATGTACGTCGCACATACGCAAAGTCCAGGTCTAGTATCAGAATCTGGAAAACCTCTCGTAAGAGCTGGTTAGCAGAAGCAGAACGCTCCGTGTCTGGGCCACGTTGCAAAGACCAGACATGTGGCGGGAAACTTGACATTGACCTTTTTCACAATAGAAGACATTTTGACTGTGTGTGTTTCCATAAACAGTCACCTCCTCTCAAACAGTAGATAACATTGTCTGTAATGGATGCCCATGTAAACCCTCATTAGAAAAACACTGTATGACATTTCATAAATTAATCTTATCTGTTACACAGGAAGCAAAGTGTCATTTGTGCGTCTCCAGGTTGTACTGTTTGCTCTGTGGTGGTCTGTTGCTCAGTGTGTGTGTATTTTGGTGCAGATTCCAATGAAAATGCAGATCTCGTGAGTTTAAATGTGGCTTCATGTGGAGAGCTTCGAGCCTTGGCGGAGGTTTACGCTCTGAGTGCCTTTCTAAAGTTGTGATGTGTTGTTGAGCAAAACAAATTCCCCAGAATCTATTGACCCCTCCTCCGTGAAAAGGCTTTTTTGTTTAGGAAATTACTGCAATAGCGAGCTCTTGCTGGCAATTCGTACATGCATCAGTAACATTGGCCATGAAACAAGAATAAAAAATGGATGGAAAGGTTTTTTTCCGACTAAGTTTTTAGCATCGGGGGGGAAAAAGAAAGAAAAGAGAGACAGAAATCAGCCTTTCCAGCCTCTGTGGAGTCTTTGTTGGAATTTGAATTCACTGGAAATACTGTGATTGCCTTTGGCTCTTCAGTACAGACAAAAAAAATTAAACTAGGAGCTGGAAAGTTGTTTTGTCTGTTCTTTGGTCTCAGCGCAGTACTGCCATGTCCCCACAAGATGGGAGAAAACACTCTGAGATCTGCTGGGATCCTATTTCATCTGCTCCACACGGCAGTTTAATTACTACTTATCAACACATCACACAATTATTATGATTTTTTTTAAGCCTGATAGTTTGAGCTGTCACTTCATGCAGGTGATGATGTCCTCCTCGTGTCCTCCTCCATGACACACAAAATACCACGGGGAGAGAGAATTCCTCCTTGTTTTCTCCAAACACATGTTTTAAATAACATCCAACTTGTCCTCCTCGTACACAACAGCAGTCCCCACCCTCTCTCCCTGCAGATCACTTCCCACTGCTGTTTTGACGGCAGTTTTTAGACGGAGACTCAAGTGGAAAACCTTCCAGGAGCGTGGGAGGGGACAGAGGGAGATGCACAGGTGGAGCACAGATTGCAAAGAGGCAGTCGTTTCAGAGTAAAGACAGAAGAGGGGGAAGTCTCAGGTTGGAGTTTTAGCTGGGTGCCCCGGGCTCGCAGCTATTCACAGACAGGTTGGACTGGTTTCTCCTCCTCAATACCTGTGTCTCTGGTGGCTCCCGCTCATTTAAACCAGCACACAGGGAGGAAGAAGTGAAGAGGTGAAGTGGCTGTAAAGGGTTCTCTGCACATTTCAACGTTTCGGCCCAGAAAGGAGATTCACGATGCCTGAGGATGAGGAATATTTTGGAAAAAATGGTAACCACTCTTTTATTTGACTGTTTTCTATAAACTGTTACAGCTGTTTTTCTCATTCCACAGTCAAATCAAATGGCTCAATGTTCAGACTTTGAACTGCACAAAAAGAACCTGTGGTTTAAGGCGTGTGAAACTGGAGCAGCAGTATCAGCATGTCAACACTGTGGTGAGAATGGATGTGTGTGTGTGTGCACGCACGTGCGCGCAGCCTCTGATTGTACAGGTGTGTTAACGCAGGGAGCTGCTTTTATCAGTGTTTGTTCAAATGTTGCTGAGCTGTGTGTTGATACTGACTCAGCAAGCGAACAAACCTTTTCTTCTGAAACTATAAGCGCGTCAGTCGGCCGGACACCGGCTCCTGCAGCTACACACAAGTTCACAAGGCCTCAGTCGACCTCACCCCTCATAGTTTCTTACTTTAAATTGATCAGTGGCAAAGCAAAGTTTATATCTAAACAGTTAAAGCCGTGTCTCGTCAAACGTGGCACCTGAGTCAGGCGGTACAGACAGAGCTGTGTATTTGAAAAACAAAGCTCGTGCTCTCTTCAACAGGAAGCTGTGACCTCTAAGAGCTCGTCTACTAAATGCTTGCCACAGCATTATACCGCTCGCAACATACATAAATAATATGCAAAGACGCCACAGAGAATATCATAGTCCCGTATCGATGCTCAAGGTTACAGGCAAAGTTGTTTTTATAGCAGCGTTCAGATGCACTGTGCTCTGCATTAAAATAAGACATTAAAAAGGATAAGATGCAGGATCCAATGATGAATGTTACACAAATAGAAGATGGATGTTAATGGTTTGAGGCCCCGACAAAGAAAACCCATGATGGTCTGTACCTCCACCATGAGGTCAGATGTTCCCCCATGTCTGTTGGTTGTTTTGGTTTCAAGCAGGATTACACTACTCACAGACTTCCATGGAAATTGGTGCAAGGATGTGTTGTGAGTCAGGGAGAAACTCGGGGCTGATCCAGGATGAGCTGTTATCTATGAGTGTGTGAAGTTTGGTGGAATTCAAGGGAAAGTGTTGGGCTTGGTCCAGGTATATAATTCTAGTTTTGCATATCTACAGGATGAATTTGCATAGAAAACAAAAACTGAGTTTCCTGCCTCTGACTGACCTCAGATCAGGTCACTGAACTGTATCCCTGAGCCTGATGATCAGAACTCACAGAGCCTCAGTTACGCTCACTCCAGATGTCTCAGAAACTCACAGTGAGCGGGGATGAATTTAAAGGAAGCCTTATTATCTCTACCTATATTGTAAATGACACACAAAGAAAAATGTTAGTTTGCTCATTTTCAGTGACTGTTTTTGGCGTTAAAATTCAAATTCTGACTAATAAATAAACGTCTATGAATAATTCGACCCCTCTGGTGGGAGGGGAAGTTGTTTTGGCCTTGTCGGCTCTTTAGCTTAGTCACTGTGGAGGAATTTGTCAGGTTGCCAGGCCTCTCTCTCTGCCTGAAGGGAGAAGTCATCTGACAGGAGAATGGGAGGAAATGTTTCTGAATCTTAAATCCTCCCTCCCTCTGATCACTTGAGTGTGGGTTCAAGCTGCATCTCCGCTTCTAAGATGTTATGTCGCCTGTTCAGTTTGGAAGACATCCCAACAATGTCTTCAGTAGTCAGGGTGCTAAGAGTCTGACTGTTCAATTCTTTCTTTCAACGTAGGGGAGCCAAGAAAGCATGACCCATCCTTCAAGGGCCCGGTCCAGAGCAGGTGAGACAGAGATGTGATTTTTATGGTTATCAGAGAGTGTCGATGAAAACAGAAGACAAACGTCTGCTCTCCTTTCAGAGGCTGCACAGACATCTTGTGCTGCATCCTCTTCAGTCTTGCCATCCTGGGTTATATTGCTGTGGGGATACTCGGTAAGGAAACCCACCTTTTTTTTTAACAAGATACGGAAAACAAAGACAACCTTCGATGACCTTTGACTTTCTTTTTCCCGTGCCACCAGCCTGGTCACAGGGGGACCCCAGGAAGGCGATCTATCCCACAGACAGTCGAGGCCAGTACTGCGGGCAGGCCGGCACCCCGCTTGAGTGAGTTGCTTTTCCATTTATAGGTCTGATTATTCCTGCAGCACACACACACACACACACACACACACACACACACACACACACAGATGGTACATCTTCAGCAGGGCAGAACCACATGTCTGTTTCTCCCTCTGTCAAACAGAAACAAGCGACAGTTGTTCTACTTCAACATCATGAAGTGTGCCAGCCCCATGGTGCTGCTGGAGTTCCAGTGTCCGACCACACAGGTGTGAACTCTTTTCCACTCGTGTGATCTTCTCAAGCTCTTCCTGTGTCTCACCTCAATGCTATGAATGTTTGTTAGTAACCAGGGGGTCGTTAAAAAGTATGAAGTCGTTATCTAATCACCTCAGACAGTCAGACTTCATAGTTGAATTAATTCTGTGGGAAATGCTGTTTCTGTCTCAACCCTGGTAACAGGAAATGATGTAATATGTGTGCCAGTGCGTGGGACACAAAATGGACGTCACTCATTATATTTGTCCACAACCTGCTTTACGTGTGTTCCCTCCTGTGTGTGTCCATCAGCAGCACAGTGTGTTTCAGTCTGATCGCTGCCTGTTTAAAGTTTACTTTCTCAGTTGGAATAGAAAACTTTCAATTAGCATGTTTTCATGGAAGTTGAAAAAAAAAAAAAACCTGCAACATTGTTAGTGACGGCATTTTGTTCTCTTTGCTCTGCTGCTTTTCTTGTCTGGAATCATGACCCCTGATCTTCTATCGCTGCACTTTGCTGTAAATGTGGCCTCCGGTTCAGATGTGTGTGGAGAAGTGCCCCGAAAAGTTCATGACCTTAGTCAAAGCCTACAGCAACAAAAAGGACTTTGACTACTACAAGAACTTCTGCAAGGAAGATGTGACTAATACGATGGTGAGTTTAAAGCTGCGTCACTGACTCATTAAGTTTAAACTTGGACGCTTCTTTCCAATGTCTCTCTTCCCTCACTTTGTCTCAATCATCCACGTATTCTGGGTTTCAGGGCATTCCTGAAATCCTCCGGTTAGGCCTCTGTCCTGCCATGCTGATGCCGAGCAAGCCCTGTGAGTTGGATCATCTAAAGCACGTTGTTGTACGATAATAATAATGCAAACATTTATGATAGAACAATAAAAACAGAAGAAGTAAAATAAATATAAACAGCAAGTTAAGTAAAATAATCCAGGAAAGGGTTGTTAATTCAATAAATAAGAGTAAAGGAGGATTTTGTACTGAAGTGGATCTGTACTCAACCAGTCTCTAGAAATAGATAAATAGATCTTCCACTTTTCCAGTTACACGCAGGTGTTTTCCAGCGCTGGGTAAGAAAGGCGGAGTGATAACTGTGGGAAACAACTCTCACTTTGATGATGGAAGTGGAAAAATGAGAGATGCCAAGGACCTTGTGGATGGAGTCAAGTGAGTACATCTCCGGAGTTATCGTGACTCGACTGCTTCGAGTGTCACTGCGTGAAATGAACTTCGACCTGTCTGAACCTGCCACCTTCTATTTTACAAATATCCCTAAGAGGAATTTCACGGTGCTCGAGCAGATAAACACAGGAATCTCTCTGCAGGAACGCCACTGTGGTCATTGAGGCTCGTCAGGTGGTCATGAAAATCTTTGAGGATTACACGCAGTCCTGGTACTGGATTCTCATGTAAGACGCTTTACTTTGATCCAGTTGTTTGTACAGAAAGAACACAGCTGGTTTTACTGCTCACCCTCCCTTCTCACGCCCTCCACTCTCTCCAGAGGCTTAGTTATTGCCATGCTCCTCAGCCTGCTCTTCATCGTCCTCCTGCGCTTCCTGGCCGGGATCATGGTGTGGATCATGATCGTCATGGTGATACTGGTGATAGGATACGGTAAGAACAGATCATCGGTGTCTCTGTCACGCTCAGGGAGCCGGTTTCCAAAAAGGTGGTTCAACAAACCTTTTAACGTGAAAACGCTGAGACAGGAATTTAAAGAAGTCTCTGTCAGAGTCTGTGTTTGAACTAATCCTCAATCTGCATGTGTTTGAACTGTGGGAGGAGGCCAGACTACCTGGGGGAGAAAAACGCCGGCTGAACTGGCAAAGAAAAGTTTCGCATTTGTATTTTGTGCCTGCTCAGTTGAACACTCCGTCCAGTCACTTATCATTGCAGTTTTTAAAAACACAATATATTTTCTTTCGGTGCTCAGGTATCTTCCACTGCTACATGGAGTACGCTGCCCTGAAGGGAGAGCCAGGGGCTAACGTGACTCTCCAGGATCTGGGCTTCCAGACGGACTTCGCCGTCTACCTGCAGATCAGACAGACCTGGCTGGCCTTCAGTCAGTACACAGCACATTTAATATAGACCAACACGTGGCTGTGAAATGAAGACATCCACATGACCTCTGTCGTTCTACCTCTTCAGTGATTATCCTGGCCATTGTGGAAGTCATCATCATCCTGCTGCTCATCTTCCTCAGGAAAAGGATCCTCATCGCCATCGCTCTCATCAAAGAAGCCAGCAGGTCAGACTAACTGCGTGACGAGAAGATTCTTTTTCAGTTTTTGATTGGTGTGTGTTGTGTGTGTGTGTGTGTAACCACTTTTGTGTTTACAGAGCCATTGGTCACGTGATGTGTTCCCTCTTCTACCCACTCTTCACTTTCCTGCTCCTGGCCGTCGTTATCGCCTACTGGGCCGTCACTGCTGTGTATCCTTTCACTGAACAGTCCATCGTATCAGGAGGAATCCCCTTCATTATTCTGTGTTGTTGTGAACGTGTCTGTGTTGTTCGTATGTGAAAGACAATCTCCGGAGAAAGTCTGGACTATTCGAATGCTCCGATGATCGTGATCCTTGACAGAACTGCTCAGTTTCTTGTCTACCTCAAACCAACCCATCTATAAAGTTGTCAACGAGACGGCGTGTGAACACTCCAGGACGGTTTGTGAGCCGGCTGTAAGTTTCCAATGTCTCAAGAGGTTTTTATTTTATTTTACAGCACCTTCTTGATTTGTGTTTACATCGTCGTATTAAATCTTCTCTCCGTCTAACCTGCTCAGAACTACTCGACCAGTCCGATGAAAGCCCAGTGTCCTGATTCCGAGTGCCTCTTTGCGTTCTACGGAGGCGAGACGATTTACCACAAATACCTGATCGGCCTTCAGTTCTACAACGTCTTCCTCTTCTTCTGGTGTGCCAACTTCGTCATCGCTCTGGGACAGATGACGCTCGCCGGAGCCTTTTCATCGTACTATTGGGCCCTCGTGAAGCCGGACGACATGCCTGCCTTCCCAGTGTTCTCCTCCCTCGGGAGATCCCTCAGGTGTGTGTGGACGAAGCTGTGGTTCATTTTCACATCACGTACAATTATCTTTGTTTCTTAATTTATCTTTAAAGTCTTGTTGTGTCTCTTTCCTCTTTATGTCTTTTCGTTTATTCATTTTATCGCTCTCGTTTCTTTCTCACTGAACCGTTGTGTCTTTGCCTTGTTTCAGGTATCACACTGGAAGTCTGGCGTTCGGCTCTCTTATTCTCTCCATGACTCAGATCATCAGGGTTCTGCTGGAGTATCTGGACCACAAGCTGAAAGGTGTTTTTACTCTTCTGTTCAAGCAGTGACATTAATGCAGTTTACTCTTAACGGTCCATGTGTGAATGGCAGCAATAACAACGTCGGTGATGGAAATGCACAATGTGCACAATGTTTCCCTCTGGTGGTTTATTTATTGAAGTGTAACGATGGAAAAAATCTTTATTCCAGTAACGTTCTCTTTATTCTTATGTATTTGTGTTTGGTTATAAGCTTTAAAACTTGTCTCACACTGTTTGTTAAATGCTCACTCATCATCAGGAGCCCACAACAAGTGCACGAAGTTCCTGTTGTGCTGTCTGAAGTGCTGCTTCTGGTGTCTGGAGAAATGCATCAAGTTTCTCAACAGAAATGCCTACATCATGGTGTGTGCTTATTTATTTAATGTCACTGAACTCAGCCCTCTTCATTAAAAAAAACTGATTTACACTGCGATGTTGTTATTGTAATATCTGAATGTAATGACTCCATTTTGTCTCTAGGTGGCAATTTACGGCAGAAACTTCTGTGCCTCAGCCAGAGATGCCTTCTTCCTCCTCATGAGGAACATGATCAGGTGAGTGTTGTATAGTTTTACACAAAAACAAATGTCTGTAGGATCTCGTGTTCTAAAGTTTCCTTCTCTTGAATCTCACAGGGTGGCTGTTTTAGATAAAGTGACAGATTTCATCCTGTTTTTGGGCAAATTGCTCATCGTTGGACTTGTTGGTGAGTTTGATTATTTCATCCTTATTCTTAATGCTGACGAGAACAACACTGACCAAAGGAAATGTGTGTTTCCTGTGTTTGTTGAAGCTGATTAGCATCATCGCACAATTAAAACTTTTATATCCATTGTCTGCCAAGAATTTTGAGATTTTGTTTTCATACCCCAGCGGTCTTTGCCTTCTTCTTCTTCTCTGGGAGAGTGAAGGCCTTTGAGGATACGGCGCCCAATCTCCACTATTACTGGGTACCCATCCTGGTGAGTCATAGGGTCCTTATGTTCTCAGGAACATCATTATCAAATAATGAAAATCACTTGTAAAATACTGTTTTCCCTCATTTGTTTTGGTTCTGATGCCTGATCGTTTGTTTAACGTCCTCACCAGACGGTGGCGATCGGCTCTTACCTCATCGCCCACGGCTTCTTCAGCGTGTACGCCATGTGTGTGGATACGCTGTTCCTCTGTTTCTGTAAGTAGCACCTCAGTTATGATAGTGACAGATTATCTACACGTGTGTCCGGCGGAGTTTACACATAAAAACAAACATGGCAGGCGAGCTGCGTTGAAGAAAGGACGAATCATTCACTGCTCGCAGCTTAATAATGAACTGAATCAAAGCTTTTCTCACTTCATGAATCCTTACTTTACTTTTGGTGATGGGCTGTCACTAATTTCTAATTTGCATGAATGTGGTGTCTCAGAATTTCACCACCATTTGAAACCAATGTTAACCTGGAAACTGCTGCTGCTTGGTTTCAAGCTGCATCTATTTAAAACCTGAAGTGCTTGTGGGTGCCTTTGCTTGCTTGCGTTTTGACTTTCTCTCTCTTTTTGTCTCTCCCTTCCTTTTCTCACTTCCCACAATTCACCTCCCCTTCCTCTTCCCGCTGGCCCTTTTAAATACTAACCTTCTGTTCCATCCACATCAACACGTACAAATACACACACTCACGCACGATAAGGCGAAGACCTGGAGCGCAATGACGGTTCAGCCACAAGGCCTTATTACATGTCGTCAACTCTTCACGAGATTCTGTGGAAGAACAAGGCCGAGGATCCGTCTTCGTCTCTGCAACAAGACGATGAAGACGTCCAGATGAAAGAGCAGCACAGTAAAGAGGAGGACGCTTCTTAGAGGAGTTTTCATTGAAAGATTTTTCACTGAAAATCCAACACCTTTGTAACTGCTACAGTTGAACACTGAAATGTTCGTAAGGAGCTGGTACTTTGTTGTCACCCAACGGGAAATTCAATTTTGCACTTAACCCAATCATCTCATTGAGGCAGATTGTGGTGAGACAACAGAAGACGATGCCTTAAATTGGCCGGGTCCATTTACAAGTGACTGGTTCCCTTTAACTTTACTGTCCTTCAACACAAGGAAACGTTGGAAATGAGATGTTTAAATAATATTCTCCTGATTGACTATTCGCTAAATTCCTCCTACAGACAGTAATTGTCCAATCAGAGCTTAGCAACTGTAACCAGGCACTGCAGGTCAGTTTTTTTTTGGTTTCTGAACATGAAGTTGTGCAGCAGCAACATTTTTTAGCTTGAAGCAGCAGTGACCTCTGGAGTCTGGGGTTTAGCGAATGGTCAAACGGACGTCAAGCATGTCTCCTGAAATGAGCTCTTTAAAATGTACATGTGATTATGACACGTGCACAATCTGCTGCATGATCGAAATGATGACGTGATGGTTGCCTACTGGACGTGATTAGAAACTTTCTCTTTGAATTTTGTTGGTTCACGGTCGTCTTGAATGTGACGGAAAAACCGTTTCACCGAATAACTTGACATTATTTGAGTAATCCGAAGTTAACCTGATATTTCTAAACTTTCTTTTTTAGTTCTTCCACTGCCACTGGCAAACTTGAAGCCACACATGTGCCTGAGTTGTTGGAGTTGGTCTGTTTGTACTTTAGTGTTTATGGAAACAGAAGAAAAGAGAAGACGTGATCATCAGTGCTAATCTTCTAGTTTACTGTTCAATCAATGCACTTTCATTTCTTTTCACATTTGTATTAGTGAATATTGAGGATTTTTTTAAAGCTACTTGTATTAATGTTGAACTTTTGACTGTAAATCTGATTTTTATTCAGTCTTTTACAAAGCAGTGTTTGCAAGTCTTAATTGCACAAAACAGGAGTTTACCTTAAATAGATGCATGTTGGTGACAATTGTAAAGATTAAACATACAGATTATGCCTTTTTTCTACTGAAGCCAATTAAATTTTCCTCTGACGTCCTCAGGTTTACTGGTATGAATATTTCATATAGAATGTTTATATATTTAAACATCTGCAGAACACRAATAAAAAAATATGGTGTGTCAGAGTTAGAAATTAAAAACTGAGACTGGAATAACTTCGTTTAATGATGTTTATATTTGAACTCGTTCCAGTGGAGGRTCTGGAGAGGAACGACGGCAGCCCCGAGAGGCCCTACATGATGCCCGAGAGCCTCCGCAAAGTCCTGAATAAGAAGAACAAGACGCAGCCGGCTGAGTAGAGCATGCCCTCCAACAGTGTGAGGATCAAACTGACTGTGGTGATTCAGTGGGAGCAGCAGGTTGGTCAAGAAGACTCAGTCCCCAGGACGCCTGCAGGGGACAATCACATGTGTCCTCCATAGTTCCTTTTGTTTTTATACCAAATGTGCTTCAGTCCACCTGGATCTAAAAACGGGTTCACATTCCCACGTCTTGTGGTTTTTTAATATTTTGTAGCTTCTTCTTTTTTTTGGAGCAAAGTTAACATCCAAAAAACATTTTTAGTGTTTTGTAAAGTTTTTAAAAATCAAATATACGGCTTGGTATGAGCATGGTTTTATTTTTAATATTTGCTYGTTACATATAAAAGTAAGGTAATCTATTAAAGTTGTTTGAATATGTGATTTAATCTCAGCTTTCCTTTCTTTTTATTATGTGTAATCTTATGTAACATTTGAATAATTAACCTTATTGTTACCAAAGCCATTACCCTGCCAGTCAGGCATATTGTAGTCAAAGTGTTTCCTAACGTATCTGATAATGATG